CACTTGATAGATTTTAATTATTTTCAAATATATCTGGTTTTCAAATATATCTCAACCTATAATATTTCATGAAGGTCATGATTTTAAATAAAGGCAAATTAAATCATACCTGAATCTCTAAATCTAAACACACTGAGGTGATAGTGACACTTGTAATTGCTTCAAAATTATTGAAAAATATCTCATTTTCTTGAAATGAACTTGGTATAAAAAGCAGCGAATAGGTCTTTATAAGGAGTTTTTGAATCTGACTTGGTCAATGGTATTCTGCAAAGTTGGCGAAATCCAGGAGAACGCAGCAGCAGGTTCTGTGAAAGGCCCATGAGGCTGGAGCATAACCAGTAGAGAGCGATTGACTATAAAGAAAAGACAGGAATGTTAGCACCTGTACATTCTGCGAGGACACCATGGTCCAGAGATAGGCAGGCAGTAAAAAGTAAAATGACAATCTCTGTAAATACAAGCACACCAGGACTAACCAAGACCTGCGGCAGCTATTAGATTCCTGTGATGGATCTAATAGATAGGCAAGAAAGGAGGTCAAAAGAAAAGACCAAAAAGCAAAAAGACAGGTATTTACAGTAGAAGTGAGTGATAGACAGGAACTCCCAGGTAGAGGCCCAAGAGAGATTTCACCTCCCCTCTTTGGCAATTAAGCAAATTCTTTCCCCACCAAGAGTCCCGGCAAGCTGTTGATACTGAAAATGAGATACTGAGGGCGTGGCCGTTTATGACGGCAAACTTAGCCTCCCCAGCCCTTACTTTTCCCCATACACTCGTCTGTCTTCCAAATTTTTCCAAGTGACGTTTCTCAGACTAGTCAGGAATGCCTTTCCTTTGGCTTCTGAGACAAACAGTCTCCGCCGTATCTTCAACGTTCTTTTGTATTACCATCCAGACCGTTTATTTAGGTCAACGACTAAGTCCCACAGTCTCTCAAAACACTCCTGTACATACATCTGTTCCAAACTTTTCTTTGGCATCAGAAGGCAATCAGGCCCCAGAAGCAAAACCAGCAGTTGCTGAGTTCAGGTCCTAGAGTCAAACTGGTTTGAATCCCATCTGCCATTGATTTAACTTTAAATAAGTTATTTTTCTTGCTTCAGTTTCCTCATCTATAAAATGGGGACAGTAACTGCATCTACCTCAGAGGATGGTGGTGATAAATGAGACAATTCATGGAGAATGGTAAACACAGCATGAATATGTGGCTCTCATTGAGCACCTGCATTTGTCATCTGTTCTAAAGTCAGTCTTTAGTGGCAGGAAGTAATATGTCCTCGAAGGCAGATTAGCACAGTAGTTAACAGCACGAGCCAAACTACTTGGATGTGTGCTAAGACTCCTGTCATTTAACAGCTAAGTGACCATGGATGAGTTACTTAACCTTCCTGTGCCTCAGTTTCTTCATCACCACAGTGGAGACTGTAACAGTACCTTCTCTTCACTGCACTGCTGGGAGAATTTTATTAGGTAACATACACAAACCATTTAAAACAGTGGTTGGCACAAAGTCAGTGTTGAATAAATATTAGATATCATCATTATCTGACTTATCTACTAACCAAAAAAATACCTGAGTCCACCTATGGCAGACTACATGCTGCCATCTAAATATCAATCCCTCTTCTTCCGTAGTAATAAAATCCTAGTTTTTAGCTGGGTGCACTCC